AAACAGACATGATTAACGAACCTCAACAAGTGCTTCCTGCGGATGAGTAAGCCGCCATTCGACACCCACTCGAGCAAATTCTTTTGTCAAATCGTGACTCGAATCCTTCAACTGCAACAGAACACAAAGCCTGTGCAGTTATAATTCACTTTACAAAATTAATACGTAAAACAAAAGCCTCTCTGAATCGGACATCTGTACAGATCGACAAGACCTTTTCGAATAACAAATTTGTAGCAGACAAAAATTTGGATAAGCAACTATGCGACAAAAAAAAGTGAAGTCAAGCTGATCTGAGAGCAGTGAGCGGAAAAAACACCAGAAAAATAAGTTAGAAAATGAGAAATATCTAACTTGGCGAATGGCGCACTCCGCAACTTCCTTAATGTGCTCCAGTGTCGGAGGCAGAGAACCAGTTCGAGCGGACAAATTACAAATCAGCTGGGCCCAAGATGCATGCAGATTTGCGACCGCTTGCCCCAGTGGTGTGTCCGGGACACCTTTCGCAAGAATCTCGTTCAAACTTTCTTCATTCCTCTCCTGCAAGAAATAACAAAACGTTTATCAAAATTCATGATTCCCAAAACAAAGAAAAAAAAATCCCATGTTTTTCGACAGTTTTATGCAACAAGCAATGAACTGAGGGCAGGCAAACTAAAAACTTATTAAACAGCGATAATGTCGCCAAATGCCGAAGCCGAATACTGCGAAATGCGGAACTTATATCTAAGTAAAGCTACTGGTCCGGGTGTTTGCAATAAAACGCTATGCCATCAAAATTTGAATGTGATGGGAGAAGAATGCGGACATCCCATGGAGGTTTGCTTGATCCGAATGCTGAAATGATTTACACCAGACTGTACTTCACTTTTACATTTCTTATTCTGCTAATAAGAGTAAAAGAATAAGAAGACGAGGAACGCCTCCAGCGCGTTGGAGGGATCCGCTTGAAGGCAATCCGGAATTATGTGGATGAGAGAAGTTCAGTAAAGAGAATAATGGCGAAACCGCCAGCTGAGCAACGGCAAGTAAAGCGCAACAATGAAGCAGTAGCCAATCAAAATACCAAAATAAATATTTTATCATTTTTTTTCCTCGCCTTACACCTATATCATATTACTGCAAATCAGGGCCAAACATAACTTATAATAATTGGCCGACAACAGTGCTGCAAATTAAGCAACCTTTGGCTTACGATTTCCTTTAAAAACGAATTTGTTTGGAAATTAAACTGAAAAAAAAAAAATAAACAGCAACGCGCACCAGACTAGCCGGTACGATCACGCGTTTTCTGCAATTCAGCCCACCGAACGATTGCCTATTGATGATTTTCACTGCTTTGTACTTTTGTCTATGAAAAAGTAGTTCAAAAATTGGAAAATAGTTAAAAATTTCACGCACCAGCGTATGAAAGCTGAATTCGAAACCTTGAAGGGTGAATATCTTTCCGTGATCCCCCCTTTAATAGTTTAGCCGCCGAAATTCTCACGAGGCCGTAGGCGATACTCAACAGCGAGGGAACGCTGAATTTGAAAAGGCAAGGTTGAGCGTGGGCAGGGGGTTATTACCCTAAAATTTCAGCTTTCTAGACCCCATGGTTCCCGAGATAATAATTTACCCTGAAGGTGATACCCGGGAGCACGGGAACCTGAATTTGAATGGGCAAGGTTGAGCGCGGCAGACGATCATTACCCTAAAATTTCAGCCTCCTAGACTGCGTGGTTCCTGAGATACTAATTTACCCGTAAGAAAATTTCACGGAGCCGTACGTGTTACCCGCGAGTACGGGAAGACTGAATTTAAATTTGCCGCGTCATCCGTTGGCGGAGAACACTATAGCAAAATTTCAGTCGCCTAGCTTTTGTGGTTCCGAGTTGAAAGTGTGGGACATACACACACATACATACACACACACACACAAACACACACAAACACACACACACACACAAACACACACACAAACACACACACAAACAGACAACCCTGTGACAATATGCGTTTTGTAACGCTACTACACAGCACAAAACGCTTAAAAAATCGAAAAGACTTAACTGAAAGATCGAAAAGTGTTCAAATCTTTATCACTTATGAAAACTGTAAACGTAGTGCGATACAAATCTGCAGCAAACCTAAATTGTGAGGATTTTTTTATGAAAGTACAAAGATGCTCACTTTCCAGTTAATTATCTGCTTTTACTAAAAGTAACACTTTAAATTACTCATTAGAGCAATCACAATAAAAGAAGACAACAGCACTAATCTGAACACCAAGTGACAACATTCCTTTCATCCCCGTAACAGATTCTGTGAAGAATTTTATTTCCCGCGTGATCAGTTGGCTCTTCCAGGACAACTCGGCGAAGCACAAGAATATGATGATCAGAATATGAAGAGTA